GTTTTCACCTGTGTGGGTTGTGTGGTGACAACAGCAGACAACAACAAGCAACAACGGACAACACCAGCCAACACCAGACAAGAACAGACAACAATAGACAACGACAGACCACAACAGACAACAGCAGATAACAACAGACAACAGCAAATAACAACAGCAAATAACAACAGGCAACAAATAACAACAGGCAACAATAGACAACAGCTTCCCACGACAAACACTTGAAAAAGCATGAGCAAAAAATCGACACACAAAAATGACAATCACATAAGAATAAATAACGTAAATGTTTAAAACAAACATCCCCCCAAACAAAAAGCTGAAACATGACTGTTTACTTTACACCCCCTGATCTAATACACAAGTGACGCAGGGTACTGAATTGTTTTTGTACATCTCATCTCGAAATTAAACTACGTAGCGTATCCTACATACGCTCAAAATCTTGCACTAACTCGGGCCCTGTTCCGGGACAGCTCCTGTTCCCGGGAAATGCGCGGCGTTGCTACCATGCCTCTTTGAACGGAGGGTCATCGATTGAATTGCGTTGACTCACTCTGCCTGCAATCTCTCCAAGTTTTCCTGGAGATAGGCCAGGTAGTTCTTCTCGCTATGCAAATATCCAGTGCGACCACACAGGGGGCCACGCTAAATCTACGGACCGAGTTGACCCAGTTGACCACAACTGGGTTCAACTGGTCAACTGGGTTCAACTGGGTCCACCACTACTATCACCACTCCCACTACTATTTATGGGTCAACTTGGGTCAACGACTAGTCGAGAACAGTCGCATAAACAACATTGAGGTATGAAAACATGATCTAACCACTAGAAACCAAGCTCAACACCAGGCAGCCCGTGTTGCGGTTGCTTGGGGACCTTTCCTGATCCAGTTGAGACACTGCCTCCATCAGTTGATGCCAGTTGACCCGGTTGACCCCAGTTGACACGTAGTAGTAGCAGTAGTAGTGGTGGTGGTGGTGGTGGTCATTTGGACCAGTTCAGGTCCAAGCAGCAAGGTGAAGCTTTTCGCGGGCTTAATTTAATTCGAATCCTTGGAAAATCTGCCAGTCTGGGATGCATGGTTCCACTCACGTTCATCGTTCTTTGTGCATCAAAGAATCGCAGCTGTTGTTCTGGCCACAATCCGGCCACCTTAGGGATTGCGCAAGGATTAAATCAACGTCACCCAGGCTCAAGCGTATCTAGAAACGTTACCCGGGCTCAAGCATATCATTGCAGGATATTACAGGCAATCCCGATCCAGCGCAACCTTTCTTCAAGAACCGTTTTAAGCCTTGTGATGCCACCCCCAAGCCCTGAGCCAGCAACTTCCATCCCCATACGGAGACCTGGTTAGCCAGATTTCAAGTTCCACCATGATCTGGACTTTGGCACGACTTGTGGAACACAGTGAGGCAGGCCCAGGAACCACTACTTTGCAAGCCTGATCCAGAGTCAGCTGCTTTCCGGCCAGAAGGAGTACCTGGAGGCTGCTACAACTGCAGGTCACGGATTGTAAGTTCCTCCAAGATGCCATCGCTGCAGAGCACGCACGCGCGGCTGAGAAGAGGCCTCATGTGGGCATAAGGTCATTCAGGACCAACCGCCGTGATTGGCTTCACAACTCGCCCAACTGGTCCAACAGGAAAAAATACACCAGTGACAACACCGTGAAGCCTGTTTCCGGACCTCAGGTGCATCTTAAGCTTTCAGGCCATTTGCAAAAATGGCCGCAGTTCGTAGCCACACGTTCTGCCTAGAGCTTGTAACAATCAATCCGTGACTCCGAGGATGGGAGCACCCATTCTTTGTTCACGTCGATTTTGTGTCCACCTCGTACGGGCCTGGTGACCCCGTTTCGACGCCCTGTGCAACACCAGGAGCGGCTCACGCGGCGCGTGAAACGTCAAGAGCTGCACGAGCTCCGCCGGATGCGCCAAGAGGAGACAGCTCGGATGCAGCGCGATGGATCCTTGCGCCGGATCCTTGCGTTGAGAAAGGGCTCTAAAGTTTTACTAGTGGTGAAAGAAGACTGAAAAGAGAGTGTAAGAAACAGGAAAAAAGGGAAGTGAAGGCTGAGACAGATAGATTTCAGTTGGAAAAATCATGTTTAGCAACATGGTTCGCGGTCGTTAGGGACAAACTCCATTGCTTTTGTTTGTGTGTGTTCTTTTTACGGAAACAAGCCAAGAGAAGCGGTCTATATCTAGGTAGCCAAAATTATGCCATCCTGCAGCTGGTCATGTAGGCAAGTTTTGGCAACTATATAGACACAGTTTTTTGTTCATTTCCCGGAAGCAGAGGGCGGCCTTGCATGGCGACATTTGTTCAAGTACTAGGATGCCCAAAGGAGACATGAACAAGTTACTCCGTCGTACAAAGTGAAACCAGTGGTCACGCCAAAGTGAAGACTGGGGACTTGGGTTCTTGCTGCAGGCGAATCTCATGATTTGCATAACAAGTACTCGTTCCATGTGGTTCCCAACAGGATCGAGCCTCCCGCCGATGGAGCAGACAGCAGCTCCGAGAAGCAAGTCGAGAGGTTCAAGCCCCTGATCATCTGGACGAACGTGCAAAAATTGTGGCTTACACAGAATTGATTTTACATAGGTTTATAAGGATGCATTTACATATAATCATATATCACCGCACTTGTGCATAGGAGTCTTGTCATTGGTCGTGTAGACTTTCAGTCCCTGTTGTCTTCAAAAAGAGGCTACAATCCTTCGTCGGATCGACGTCATTCTGGCAAAGTGGTCGTCAGCCTCAGTCTGAAAGCGTCGTGACTGTTTCTTTCTTGGTCAAGGGTACCAATAGAGTGTTTATCCACCGATGTAGAACGAAGATTGTATTTTCAACTTGCTCGACTCTTTCAAAACAGAGTGTATTTTTGTTAGATTCTCTGTATTCTGTTCAAGGCGTCCAGGATTGAGCAGATTGAGACGTGTGTCCACCCGTTCGAGTCTCAGTGGGTTTTGTGCACATCCTTGTTAGAATTCTGCAAGACACTGTCCTCACACAGTCGAATATCCTCCCTCCAAAGCGGTGGCGGGTAAGCATTGACCGCCCCACACTGGCCATGCGAAAATAGACTTGTGAATTCGCCCATAGCTGATCCACATGGAAGAATAACCTGACTTTCTTCCTGGCATCGAGCATCCAGGCACATCCAGGCCAATCCTTGATCTTGGCAGGTGGACTTTCTGCCTCAAAGCTAAAAGCCTTGGACTACCTCTCTGTCCCAGTGGGGGATCTCGAGGATCCAAACGAACAATCCAATCTGAAAAGAACGTGTGATGGACCACCTACGGCATGCCGAGTGCCGGACGGAGGGTGTCGCCAAGATGCCGAAAGTCAGGTGCGCCAAACGAAAGTGCGAAGGTGCTTAGATGCACAGCCGAGCCCTTAGGGCGGTTTGGAAGCAACGTTTGGAGCTTGAAATAGATGTTTATTTTCTGAAAGCTTGAAGGTTGAGACGAATCTGTTCTTGTTACTACTAGCGATGCCAGGATCCCGTGGTAGCTTCTTGTTCCTGGTCCTAGTAACAGTAGAAATGCTAATTGAACGATTCCTGATGCCCTGAGGTTGGACGGATGAGGACAGTGAGACAGTCGCAGTTCCACCTTCGTGCGGCACATGAGGACGCTCTACGCATGTCATGATGCGTACTTTGACGTGCTTTGAGACAGACGGAGATGTCAGCAGATTTCTATCCTGTTCTCAGTGAGACAAGGGTGCCTTTGAGCCTTCCAGTCGGTGAAACTGACTTCTTCAAAGAAGCATATTTAATCACTTCCAACAACTTACATCAAGCCTGTGCTGGCTGTAATGGAGGTTGGATGATTGAGAAGGGATCAAAAATGGGCGTGGCTGCAAGAACGAAGAGAATTGCATGTAGAAGGTCTTGCTGCATCTAGCTTACTCCCTCCCAGCTCTAGAAGTTTAATGCAGCAGATTTGATTGTCCATATTACATGTAGTAGTACAGATTTTGTGTTTAGAGACTTCGTAGCTGCAAGCTTCAGAGGTTCATAGGAATTCAAAAGCCGCGAACAATCTTCCACGCTGTCATGCGGATGTTCTTCATCGTTCGTCACTGTTACACAGTGTTCCTCTTTATTTGTGGCGGTCTGACAAGGGCTTGACACAATTTTCAGACAAAGTGTTCGGGCATGCGGAAAGGAACCCTGATTGGTGATTTGTACTCAGTAGGCTTACCCAAAATTTGCATTTGAAGCTTCTTCACTTGTGTTGAGCATGCCTTGACATTCTGGGAAGTTTTTAACAGTCGGATGTGGCACACAGGATTGAGGCCCCGTCTTGGACCCAGCGCTCTGCAAGGTCTGTAGATGTCAAGCCATTCAAACAACATCGTGCGTAGCCTTTAACGATCCTCATGTCTCCAAGATTGGCTACCGACTTTTGGGTGTCGACGAAGACAGAACAAACACTTTTCCTCTCGACATCTGAAAAACAGAGAAATCCTTCAGCTCAAAGGAGGCGATGTGACGTGTCGTGGAAGGTTCGCCCTCGGGGTGGACCTCCGCGCCGTCTCCGTGAGACGTGTTTTGTGAGATGACGACTGGATCAGAGGTGAGAACAAGGCGAGCCTGATTCGCTTTCTAGTCCGAAGTACCGTTGTATCATGTTGTATCAAAAGCCAAGTCAAGCCGTTCTAAAAGCACTCATGTAAACGATACAGTGTCTTTCAAATAATCGCAGGAGGCCACTAATTGTTCGGTGGTCGTTCATGATCCTGTTTGGGCTGAAAGGTAGGCTTCGTGCAAACATATCTGGCGAACCTCAAAGATCTTTTCATCTGGAGAAGCGCTTATCTTGACTGGACAGATTTGGGGCCAGAAAAACTGTCGTAAAAAGACGCACTTTGACCGGAGGCGACGAGCCGCTCTGTGCCTCACGGGTCATTTGCGTTCAGCCACCTTTGATCCCAATGGTCTCTTCGTGGAGCCCCTGCAGCGAGTGGTGCTGCGCCGCTTGGTGTGGCGGTTGAGACTGTGAACACATGTGAACACATGTGAACACTGGAAAGCTGAAAGTGATAAGACTTTCAACGTTTTGCGTTGAAGCCGGATTTCCCTGAGATCCTTAGATCATTCAGATATCCTTAGCCTGGGGTGAAGTTGTTTTCTTGAATTTGATGCCTCAGCAGCAATGTTTTCCCTGCATCATTTTTATGTTGCTAGATATTGGCATGCCATAGGAATCCTTCATCCTGAGGCTCGTTGAGCAATTCCGGATACGTCGTGGATGTTTTTGCAGTGACTGATGCGGGCGAGGACCCAGCACTTCCATTACTCAGACTTCATTCATGGGTGCGTGCTGACACAAGTATGTCAAGAGCCAGTGACCAAATGGAGTGGACTTCTGTGGAACAAGACAATGCCGGAATGCCCACGTACCCTTTGACGTAGGACTGCCGACAGGCGGATGAGATGCTGGAGCCTTTGCGCCTGAAGGCTTTGCATTGCATTCCACAGAACGAGGAAGACGACCTGCAAAGGCCAGGTGAGTGCGATGCATCGGACCTCGCACGAAAGTGGCGATGGGGACTTTCACTTTCACATGTCGTGTTCTAGACTCATCTAGACTCTAGATCCGGAGTGGCGTCGGTTTGTCTGGACCGGTTTTGAGGCGCAAGGAGGAACGTTGGCTGAAGCATGGTGCTCGCACGGTCTGGAGCCGGACGGCCTTCTTAGGGCAGCTGAAGAAGGCCGTTCCGCGTGGTGGGCGACAAAGTTATCTACGAAAGAATGTCCCAAAAAGAATTTGCATTTACTTTTGCCCGAGATTTAGAAGGCCAAACCAAAACCATTGGAAGCTGACGATTCTACTTGGAAAGGTCCAAGCCTGTGGCGAGCTGATCGGTGAGCAGAGCTATGACTTGGTGGCGCGCTCACGCCTGGATGTACGCTGCTTGGCTTTGGATAAGTTCAGTTCTTCAAGAGAGGTCTCAGTCAGAGCTACAAAAAAACAACTGGCAAACCGGCAAAAGCCTGCAAAGCAGCTCTTCACTTTTCCATGTTACAACACTGATCCATTTTGCAGACTTCGCTTCGAAACATTCGATACTCAGGCTGGTACAGTTTCCCAGCGGATGCACGTGTGCTGGAAGTGCCGGGTGTCCTTTGCCAGGTTTGTAAAGCAAAGTGTTGCCTGGTCTCGGTTGCAAAACAATATTTGTCAGACTGAGTTGGAGTTGCCAGGTGTCGTTTGGCTTCCTTTCCGTGCGACCGAAAGCATGACGCAGTACATGAATGACCTCTTTGCTATTGGCAGTCAAGACGAGATGCCGGCAGCCTAGAGATGGGCTACGGAGACAGATATGAGATCTCTAGAATCTAGAATCTAGATGAATCATGATGAATCTAGTTTCTACCGGGACTACACCGCAAAAACTTAACCCAAACACGCCGAAGCTAGCCGGACTTTTGGTCACAGGAAGCCCTATTTGCGCGTCTACGAGGAGTTACTTGACCGAGGCCCAACCATGAGTGTGAGATAGAGAAAAGGATGAACGAATCTCACTGTGAGTGGAAGGTAGCACACTCACAGTGCATATGAAAGATGAAAGTATGCAGAACTTCAAGAAAAAAACGCTTCATCGACGCAGGAAATTGGAAGCTTCATCGATCCTTCGAGAGCTCACCCGACGGGTTGGACACGGAGGAGCTTTGGCAGGTCGAGAGATGTAAACACGAAATACGGCTTTTCTCCGTTGGTGTTTACTTCTCAATGCGTTTCTGTCTTCTTGGCTTTGGGTTCCTTCCGGCAGTCTAACAAACAGGTGAGCTTGCTCAAGGCTGGCATCTTGGCCAGGCAACACCCGGAAATTTGCTTCAATTTGCTTCTAGGCTTACCATACATACTACTAGGGGCTCCTGGCATCGCTACTAGGAGCAAGGACGCTATTGGGGGCTCCTGGCTTTACTACTAGGAACAAGGTTCGCTACTAGTAGCTTCTAGGCTTGCATATTCAGTGGAGCAGCCGGACCTCCCTTTTGATCCGAAGCCTTCGGGAAAGCACTGTAGGGAGAAACTGGCCATGCATTCTTCGCATTGTGCCGACACCAACTGAAGCTTGAGTGAGTTTGCCCTTGAATCGCGAAGCCATCCCCGTCTCTACGTGAGCGGGAAGAAGCAGCAAAACTCAAACAGTGACCAAGGCTGTCGCGGAATTCATCGGGTACATTGCCCCTCGAGAGGGAAGACAACTGCCGTGATGCACAGCGACATCCCCATGGCTATTTCATCAACACAGAATGGCACCCCGGATGTGTTTTAATGTATTGTTGTTTTGAGTAATTTCCGATTGTTACATGTTGTGTTCACTTTCTGGGGCCAGTTTGGAAAGACTTGAGAAATTAACGTCGGCCCTATAGGTCACTTGATTGGACTTTATTCACTGATAGATGGTGATAGATAGGGATGGGTTTAAACGGTTTAAGGCTTGACCGGGCTTAGCATCCTGACTTGAACGTGAGGTCCAAGGCGCCCTTGTCAACTCTGCCGGGCATCTTTCCCTTTGACTCTTTGCTCACTGTCCGGTCGCTGGTCCAAACATGTGCTAAGGCGAAGGTATTTTAAATTCAAGTGTAGCTGCTAGTCAATCTACTATATTTGCGAGATGCTCAGCGATTTGAAGGTATTGATTCAAAAAAGACCAGCCGCCAATTCCTTCAACTCGTCTTAAGTAACTTGATGCGAGGTTGCTGCACTTTTTTCTATGCAGAATACGCTCGCCTGGGTAGACCAGCCAAAGTGCAGCTCAGCTCAAACGCACAGAGATGCAATTGAGTAGGCCAAGCAATGCGTCTAAACCATTTAGAATCCTCAAGGTGCACTTCACTTTGCCACTCCAAGCATTGATCGGTGATAGGAGTCATCAGCAACTTCATGGGTTTAACCCTGTTTGGGGTGCTTCCAAGGCTGGATCTGGGATGTGGCAGGGGCAGCATGATAGAACGCTGGTTGGGCTATCATCCTGCAAGCATTGCCTGTATTGATATGCTTCCTGGAAGCTTGGACAAAGAGGGGCACAAAGCTGGCATCATTGGGGCTAGCGGTCAGGAAAAGACCTGGGAGATATTGTACATTCCTCATCAGCCATCAAATGTTATCAAATTTACTGTAATCAATGATGCCTTTGGTAGATGTGCCTCAACGAACAAGTGCCCTAAGATCGACTTTCTGATCCACAAATACCATTCTTGGTCAAAGCATAAACTACGTGTTAACTTAAAAGTAGATTAATCTATGAATCTTGCTTTTGAATTGG